ACCAGCCTGGGCAACAGAGTGAGATCACTGTCTCAAAAACAAACAAACAAAAAAAGTATGCATATAAGAAAAGGTACTAAAAGGGAAGGTCCCAAAATACTGATGGTAGTTATTTTTGACTGGTGGCTCTATGGTGACTTACATTTTTTCTTGTGTTTCTAAATTTTCTTTCTTTTTTTTTTTTTTGAGACGAAGTCTTGCTCTGTCGCGATCTTGGCTCACTGCAAGCTCTGCCTCCCGGGTTCACGCCATTCTCCTGCCTCAGCCCCCAAGTAGCTGGGATGACAGGCACCTGCCACCATACCCAGCTAATTTTTCGTATTTTTAATAGAGATGGGGTTTCACCGTGTTAGCCAGGATGGTCTCGATCTCCTGACCTCGTGATCCAGCCGCCTCAGCCTCCCGAAGTGCTGGGATTACAGGCGTGAGCCAACGCACCCGGCCGTGTTTCTAAATTTTCTATGAACAAGTCAAGGACTACTAGTAAAAATAATCCCCATCCCACTGTATGAATGGTAATTCCCCATCCCATTATAGCCTGTTTGATTTATTGTTTGTGTTTACAAGTCTAAAATGACTGTGATTTTTATGGCCGTGGGCAGGATGGCAAGCACTACTCTTCATGTACTGTTGGTACCAGCATCAGTTTTCATTCAATAGTACTGTTCAGAACACTTTGCTGGTGGGCCCAGCTTTTCAAAGCCCTCTTCAATCTCTTTCCATTCTCCACAACAGACGAACATTTTCCCTGTGCCCTATCACTGGGGCTTCAGGCCAGCTGTGTCCCTAATCCGCCCACGTCCCAGATTTGGGTATAGTTTTCCCGCCCTTCCCCCCTTTCTTCCAATCTCATCTCTACCAGGTCATCTGAGGCCTCATCTACGCTCCCTGGCCTTTCCCACTGGTCACCACCTAATTTCACCATCTAATTTCATCCTCCTATGTGCAGCTGGTGTTTGTTTTTGCTTGGGCTCAGTTTGCAGTGGGGAAGGATTAAGACCCTTTCACGCTGTCTTTTTTTTCCTTTTTCTTTTTTTCTTAGCGCCCTTGACTGCTCCAGGGGCTAACAGACAGCTAGCAGGGCCTGTATTCCCTAGGAAGAAACACGAGGGGTAGGGGGTAGGGAGGTAATGGTGGGCTCAGCTGGCAGGCGAGATAGAGATGGCCCTTAGGGACCCCATCCTGGGCTTGGAGCATAGCACAGCTGCTACCCAGATGTGAGCATGGAGCAGAGCTGTTTCTGTCTAGGAAATTAGCCTCAGAGATGGTGCTTGGGACCTTTACCCTTGGTACCTGATGGCAGTCTCTGCAGGGTGAGCCAGGACTGGATATCTGGTTTGCAGAAGTGTGAGAGGGCAGATGGGCCCAGGAGTAAAGGTAGTTTTTCTGCCTTCATATTAGGCATTACTTATACCCCCGCATTCTCCTATGTGATAGGCCTGGCAACACTCAGAGATTGGGCACTCAGCCTAACAAGTGAAGATGTGTGTCTAAAATAACAAAAATTCCTCATGCGTGGATAGTACTTTATGGTTTACAAAGCCCTTTCATCTGCAGGCTAAGAATTACAAGCCAGCACTGGAATTCAGGTCTTTCAGATTCGAAAGACTGGGCCAATGGATTTTGGTGTATCATTGCATGGCGCTCTGAATTTCAGAGTGGTTCATACCTGCCTTGTGTCTAGCCTTTTTCTGTTAGCCTGAGACCTCTACTTATTTTCAGGGTAATGATTATTAAATGCTACATATTCTTTGCATCCAATTAGATGTGCCATTGGCTAGCACTTCATGGCATAGAGAATCCTGGGCTTTCATGAATCTGAATTTGCTGGATAACTTGGTGGTGGTGGAGATGGTAAGCCACTGGTGATTGGTCTTCTGTACTCATCCTTCAAGATACCAGATTTTCCTGTCTGATTGGTGAAGGAAGCCTGAGGCACAGAGGTGGTAGGACTAGAACTCTGAATAAAAAGCACAGCTGAACCTGAGGACTTGAGGCAGGAGACCAGAGTATTCAAGAACCGGTGCGGCCAGGCATGGTGGCTCATGCCTGTAATCCCAGCACTTTGGGATGCTGAGGTGGGCGGATCACCTGAGGTTGGGGGTTCGAGACCAGCCTGACCAACATGGAGAAACCCCGTCTCTATTAAAAATACAAAATTAGCCAGGCGTGGTGGCACATGCTTGTAATCTCAGCTACTCGCGAGGCTGAGGCAGGAGAATCGCTTGAACCTGGGAGGCAGAGGTGGCGCTGAGCTGAGATGGTGCCATTGCACTCCAGCCTGGGAAACAAGAGCGAAACTCCTTCTCAAAAAAAAAAAAAAAAAAAAACAGGTGCTTCACCCCAAGTACACAGAATGACCCTGGCCAAGTCACCTGACCTCACTAAGAGTCAGTTTCCTTGTATATAAAATGAGGACATTCATTAATTCATTCAACAAATATTTATTGAGTGTATACTGTTCTGGGATATGAATACATATATAGTCCCTGCCTTCCTGAGCTTGCAGTCTAGTGGGTCTAGATTACAGCAATTTATTTGAGAGGCACAATAAATGATAAATATATCATAGAAAGTCAAGTAGGGTAAGTGCTATGAGGCAAATTAAAGCAGGATAAGGGTGTTTGAGTGGAGGCTGTTTTAGATGGTGTAGTCAGGTGGTTTTCAAGGGGTTTTATGATGTTTCAAACAGACAATTTATATAACGTGCTCAGCTCAGTGCTGACAATTGCATGCTTAACAAATATATTATTATATTTGCCAGTTCCACACCTCTCAATCCACATTTTAGTCTCTGAATAGTAATAATAATTAACACACATAGATCTTACTATGAGCTAGGCACTGCACTAAGTCCTTTACATATTTTAACTCATTTCTTTTCTTTCTTTTTTTTTTTTGAGATGGAGTCTTGCTCTTGTCACCCAACCTGGAGTGCAATGGCACGATCTGGGCTCTCTGCAACCTCCGCCTCCTGGGGTCAAGTGATTCTCCTGCCTCAACCTCTGAGAATAGCTGGGATTACAGGCGCCTGCCACCAGGCCCAGCTAAGTTTTGTATTTTTAGTAGAGATGGGGTTTCACCATTTGGCCAGGCTGGTCTCAAACTCCTGACCTCAGGTGATCTGCCTGCCTCTGCCTCCCAAGGTGCTGGGATTACAGGCATGAGCCACCATACCTGGCCTAATTCTTACAGTAACTCTATGAGGTGGGAACTATTATTATCCTTCTCCCTTCCCCAACCCTCGTTTTTGTTTTTAGAGATAGAGTCTTGCTCTGTTGCCCAAGCTGGAGTAGAATGGCACGATCCTAGCTTACTGTGGCCTTGAACTCCTGGGCTTGACCAATCCTCCCACCTCAGCCTCCTGTGGAGTCCCAGCTACTTGGACATATTATCCCCTTTTATGGTGTTGAAAAATGAGGCACGGCCGGGCACAGTGGCTCAAGCCTGTAATCCCAGCACTTTGGGAGGCCGAGAAGGGCGGATCAGGAGGTCAGGAGATCGAGACTATTTTGGCTAATACGGTTAAACCCCGTCTCTACTAAAAATACAAAAACAAAATTAGCCAGGCCTGGTGGCGGGCGCCTGTAGTCCCAGCTGCTGGGGAGGCTGAGGCGGGAGAATGGCGTGAACCCGGGAGGCGGAGCTTGCAGGGAGCCGAGATTGCGCCACTGCACTCCAGCCTGGGCAACAGAGCAAGACTCCATCTCAAAAAAGAAAGAAGAAAAGAAAAGAAACCTTGTCTCTACTAAAAATATAAAAATTAGCTGGGCATGGTGGTGCACGTCTGTAGTCCCAGCTACTCGGGAGGCTCAGGCAGGAGAATCGCTTGAACCCGGGAGGCAGAGGTTGCAGTGGGCCAAGATCGTGGCACCGCACTCCAGCCTGGCGACAGGGTAAGACTCCGTCTCAAAAATAAATATAAATAAATAAATAAATAAAAGAAAAATGAAAATCAAATCATTAGGAAGGGCTGGAGACTAAGAATTGAACCCAGGCAATCTGTTTCCAGAGGCTGTGCTGGGATTGTGAAGGAGCTGTGATTAGATATCAGGAATGTCTAGTTGGCGTCTACAGACTGTGCTGTCAGATTGCCTGGCTTCTTATCCTGTCAGTTCTAAATCTCTGCTTCAGTTTCCTCATCTCTAAAATAGAACACCAGATCCTATCTTACCTTCTAGGTATGATGCTTCAAACAAAAGCCTTCTTTTTGCACTGTGGGTCCGAACCCTGTTCACAGACCAGCCTATCAGGGAGTAGGAAGGGTCAAGGGGTCTCTGACACTTCTGGAAGGAAATAAAGACACACTAAGCAATTGTCAGAGCAACCCTAACTTCATCTAGAGACCAGACCTCGGAAGCTAGGTCTTTATAATTTTGAGATGGCCGGGGGGAATTAGGAGACCCTTAAATGCAGAAGACAGGATCAGTCTTGGCGTGGCCTCAACACTTAGCTTCCATTTCAGACCTTACACAGCTGGCAGGAGAGGTGAAGTCTCATCGAATGTCAGGGTGGGAAGGGCGCCTAGAGACAAACTAGTGAATGGGGAAACTGAGGCACAGAGCAGCTGAATGACTTACCCGAGGTCACTAAGCGTTTAGGGGGAGTCAGTCCTGGCTACAGCCTCTACGTGAGTTACTTCCCTGAGGCTTCCAAATCTCGGCCTCTTACTTGGAAGGAGGAAAGGACCTCACCGTCCAGGGCTCTAGCTGCCTCATGTCCCACGTGGGTGCTGCGGGCTCCCGGAACACCCTAGCTCCAGACCGGGTTCGACTTGCGCGTGCGCACACGCGGCCAGCCCCTTGCCTTTTCCTCTTTTTCCTTCCCCTCTCCTCTCCTTACCGGCCTAAGGGAGGGGGGAAACAAGAGGAGCTAGAAGTTGGCCTCAGCCAATGGGCGGACGGGCCGCGGGCCCGGCCCCCTCCTTCCCTCCGGCGCGGCCCAATAGAAATTTACTACAATGTTGTGGCGAACGGAGGGGGAGGGGCGCGCGCGGGCGGGCGGGCTGCGGGCCGGGCTGGCCTCGCCTGGCAGAGGGAAGGCGGGAGGGCGCGCGCCAGGGCCGCTCGCCTGCTCGCTCGCTCGCTCGCTCCCTCCCTCCGCTGGTGGGCTTAGTCAGTCAGCCAGCAGCAGCCGGCGGGCCCGCGAGCCGCAGAGGGCCCGAGCCTGGGACGCCGGCGTCTCCTCCTGCCATTGTTCGTCGGGCTGCAGCAGTGGCGGGCGCAGGAGCCCGGCCGCGGAGCCACCGGTGAGGCGAGGCGGCGGCGGCGGCGCGGGAGCCGGGGCGGGGGGCGTGGAGCTGTCCCCGTGGGGACGGTCCTGGCGGCCGCGGCGGCGCTGCAGCCTCTTTGTCTGCAGCACCCCACAGGCCCCGGGCCGGGGCGCGGGCTCTCCAGCGGAGGGGCCTCGTGCGCACACTGGGACGCTAGCCTGGACGCGGCCCGAGGAGCGAGGGGCGGGCCGGAGCCGCTGAGGAAAGGGAAGGGGTTGCGTCGCGGGAGCGTTGGAAAGTTAGGCTTGGGGTGTATTTTTGACGAGGGAAAATCGGTCCCCTCGGGTGCATCAATCACGGTGCGGTGTGCAGGAGCCTCGGGAGAAAACCAAATGCGGAGAATCGCAGGTTTCAGACGGTGAAGGTGTTGCGTGCAGCCGCGGAGCGATTTCTTCCTGGCGAGGGAGCGGGGCTGTCTGCAGAAGTCAGGCGGTGTCTGAGGGCTGCAGGGAGCCCTGGCAGGACTTCGCAGGCCTTCCCGCCACCGACGCCTGCATCATTGAAAAACACGTTCCCCTTAAGTCTTCGCGGTTCCCAGCGAGCAGAGGGTTAAATCTATTCTCTCAGCGTCGTGACCTCCTTTTTCAGTTCGCGCATCTGTCGGCCTGGAAATCTTCCCCCGTGCTCGCTGGGCTGCTGTACCTGTGGAGAGGCCGGGTCTCGGCTCGCCCTCCGAGATTGACCAGCAGGCCATTATTCCTGGGGAGGTTTTGCCAAAACAGGGTCATGCTCCCCGAGAACAGGCATTCTCTTGAGAGAAAGTGATCTCACGTGAAACAGATTGCTGATGGACTGGTTTCTGGCCACATGATAGCGACCGTCATCCTGTTGTTTCTCTAACTGTACCCTGTACCCTGCCATAAATGACTAGTCTGTGGAGACTTGTTTTTTGGCATGTAGTTGCTCATTAGGAGATAGTTTTTTCTTTTTTTTTTAAGATGCTTTTTTTTTCTTTTTTTTTTTTTTAAAGTAGTCTGGATGATTTCACAGCTGCTATTTTGTTCCCTTCTGTTTTTAGGGAAAATGGCAAGAAATGGTTGTGTCTTGTGTCTTGGATATTATTATAGTGGATTTAGACTCTCTTGAGGATGTACTGTAGTCAATGCTGTTGCTCATTGTTGTTTTCTGTATTCTCAGTCCTGGCAAACATTTTAGTTGATTAGATCCCTTTAACTAAAAGCAGGATACATAGCCTGTATATGTTTCTTCTCGTCCCAATTTTGTTAATGTAGCACTGACTCCTACTTTTTATGGAAACTTGATGTGTACTCTTCATTTCCCTTTTCTGCAAATTGAAAGTGTAATCAGTTCTTCACCAGTTGTAAAATTTTTGGTTTGGGGTGTTATTAATATAATCCATGTAGCGTACGTGCTATCTGGCATACAGTAAGCACTCAATAAATGGCAGATTCAAAAATAGATGGAATAACTGAACACCAGATTGCCTTAGAATCAAAGTGGTTAATTCCATGTGTTTTCTATAAGAAGCTTATAATTAAGGTAAAGATAGATATTATTCATACACCTGGGGAAACAAGTACAGTGATCTTTGCCTCTATTAAAAATGAACTCGGTCGGGCACGGTGGCTCACGCTTGTAATCCCAGCACTTTGGGAGGCCAAGGCGGGTGGATCACTTGAGGTCAGGAGTTCGAGACTAGCCTGGCCAGCATGGTGAAACCCCATCTGTACTAAAAATGCAAAAAAAGTTGCTGGGTATGATGGCATGTGCCTGTAATCCCAGCTACTCAGGAGGCAGAGGCAGGAGAATCGCTTGAACCTGGGAGGCGGAGGTTGCAGTGAGCCAAGATTGCACCACTGCACTTCAGCCTGGGCAACAGAGCAAAACTGTCTCAAAAAAAGGTGAACTCATTGTTGAACATAGGTTCAGAGTGCCAACCTAAGTTCAGAGTGCCAACCTTCTGATTCCTCTTCTACCAACAAAACTACACATTTTTCCTTGTATGTTTGAATTCAGGCTTAGAAATAAATGTTTTTAATCTGTAGGTTTTACCAAAATTCTCCCAACAATTTTTTTCTTTTTTTTAAACAGGGTCTCATTCTGTCACCCAGGCTGGAGTGCAGTGGCGTGATCAAGGCTCACTGCAGCCTTGAACTCCTGGGCTCAAGTGATCCTCCTGCCTCAGCCTCCCTAGTAGCTGGGACTACAGGCGTGTGCCCCCATGCTTGGCTAATTTCTTTTTGTTTTTTTGTAGAGACAGTCTCACTATGTTGCCTAGGCTGGTCTTGAATTCCTGGGCTCAAGGGATCCTCCTGCCTGGGCCTCCCAAAGTGCTGGGATTACAGATGTGAGCCACCTCACCCGGCCTCTCCCAACATTTAATTGTTTTATACCAAATGTCTTGTAAGCTCTTACGCAATATGGCTACAATCTACCTTTCCACCTTTATTCTCCTTTTCTTTGTATTGTCCAACCAAATAGAACTACTCTGTAATAACCCTTGCTTTGATCTCTCTGTGTGGGTTTATTTATTTATTTATTTTGAATCTTACTCTGTCACAAAGGCTGGCTGCAGTGGCGCCATCTCAGCTCACTGCAACCTCCACCTCCTGGGTTTAAGCAATTCTCCTGGCTGAGGCTCCCAAGTAGCTGGGATTACAGGCACTTGCCATTGTGCCCACCTAACTTTTGTATTTTTAGTAGAGACGGGGTTTCACCATGTTGGTCAGGCTGGTCTTGAACTCCTGCCCTCAAATGATCCACATGCCTCGGCTTCCCAAAGTACTGGGATTACAGGCATGAGCCACTGTGCCCGGCCCTGTATACATATGTTTTTAGAGACAGGGGTCTTACCTCGTTGCCCAAGCTGGAGGGCAGTGGCATGATCCTGGCTCACTGCCGTCTTGAATTCCTGGGTTCGAGTGGTTCTCCCACCTCAGCCTCCCGAGCAGCTGGGACTACAGACATGCACTACCATGCCCAGCATTTCTTTCTTTTTTTTTTTTTTTTAAACACGGGGTCCGCTATGTTGCCCAGGCTGGTCTCAAACTGCTGGTCTCAAACTCCTGAGCTCAAATGATCATCTCACCTCTGCTTCCAAAAGTGCTGGGATTACAGACATGAGCCACTGTGCCCAGCCTAGTCTGTATTACAGACATGAGCCACCATGCCTTGTGTGTAATTTTTGGTGTGAATGATAGGGTTTGCTCACACTGCTTTTTTTAATGTAGTAATCCAATTTAAATATTGCTAATCTGATTTCATAACTTTAGAATATCAGTGGCCATCAGGGGCTGAGTTTGGTTCTGAAATCAAGAGGAGCATACATGTAGACCACAGTTTGTTTCCTTGTTATCTAAGAGGCAGGACAGCATAAGTGTTGTCAGTGTATTTTTGTTTTTCTTGTCTTTTCTGTCTCAGCCTCCTGGGTAGCTGGGACTACAGGGGCGCACCACCACACCCAGCTAAATTTTTGTATTTTTAGTAGAGACGAGGTTTCACCATGTTGGCCATGATGGTCTCTGTCTCTTGACCTCGTGAGCTGCCCACTTCGGCCTCCCAAAGTGCTGGGATTACAGGCGTGAACCACCATACCCAGCCAGTGGTCTGTATTTTTCTGAGTTTCATCAAGTTTGTGTTTGGTTAAATGCATATTCAGGTGTGGATTCATTGCTACCTCTAAATTTGATTTTTTTCTTTAATTGCTTGAACATGGAACACTTTATTTTGTTTGTGAGCTAAACAACAATAATTCCAATAACTTTTCTTATGAATAACTTTGTTTTTTTCCTCTAAATAAAGCCTCCAAAGATGGCCTCTGAATTAATCAGTTATGGGCCTTATTTGTGGAAAGGATCCAAAATTATTGAAAAGTAATTGCTAGCTAGGTGCAGTGGCTTATGCTTGTAATCCCAGCACTTTGGGAGGCTGAAGCCCACAGATAGCTTGAGCCTTCGAGTTTGAGACCACTGCATTCCAGCCTGGGCAACAGAGTGAAATTCTGTCTCAAAGAGAAAAAAGAAAATAATTGCTTGATTGCATTTATCATAGCATTTAGTTAGAGGAGAGGAGAGACAGATGCCAAATGTGTGTGATTTTTTGTTGTTCCTTTAAGTTTCTTGGTATGTCACTGGTGGCTTTTACTGTGTGTCCTTTTTAAGAGTGGGTTCCTGGTGTGTTTAGTAAAATGCAATATAACAAATACTCTGGAGTGCACACTGGGTTAGATTAGTATTTTGATTTACTCTGCTGCTATTTAATGAGTACATAAAGAGAAAGATAAAGAAAAATGCTATAGCAGTGAGGAGTACTCTGAACTTGGAGGTGTTAGAAAGGAGAACTTTGATATTTTATGTTGAGTGGTGATCTCATTTAGAACTACCCACCTTACTGACACTTCGCTTCAAATATTGGTTTTTGGAAAATCCGATTATGATGAAAGTCTGTTTATACTTTTTTTGCTGATTATTTTTATTTAAATGGGATTGTATCCACTTAAAATATTTGAAAATAAATTGGCTAGCTCTTTGAACTTTGGAGAACAGCAGCCAGTATAATTCAAGGAGTAGCTTGAAGAGACTTTAATATTCCCTATCTGCTAACTTCGTCAGCTTTCCACTAAGTCACCGTAAGTAAATATGCAATCTAGGTAGGAACTGAGAGCTTGATATCCAAATATTCTGTCTCTCCTTCCAGTCAAATTGCTATCCTTAAAAGTCCTTTTTTTTTTTTTCAAGGCAGGGTCTTGCTCTGTTGCCTAGGCTGGAATGCAATGGCATGATCTCGGCTCACTGCAACTTCTGCTTCCCGGATTCAAGCGATTCTTCCACCTCAGCCTCCCGAGTAGCTGGGACTACAGGCATGCACCAGCATGCCTGGCTAAATTTTGCATTCTTTGGTAGAGACGGGGTTTCACCATGTTGGCCAGGCTGATCTGGAACTCCTGATCTCAAGTGATCCACCTGCCTCAGCTTCCCAGAGTGCTGGGATTACAGGCATGAGCCACAACATCCAGC